TTAAGTGAAGTGGTTGTCAATTTTTAGAGCTAAGAGACGTATGATAATTAATATCAAGGCGAGACGGATGTCCGTCGTAAGATAAAAACTGTTAACGATGTGCGGACACGTCCGAACCGGCTGCATCGATACGCCCAAACTATATTTTTCTCTTGCACTCCATATTAAAAGATAAGAATGTTTTCTCTTTTCAATATTGTCCCTGAGAACCATGGGTGTTGTGGTCAGCACTGTTGATAACTTTATAGGTCTATGGCTAAAAGTATTAAAGATGATTTTTATATATATATATATATTTTATTTTTATTTTATTTTATTTTAACATTATTACAGGCAAAGCCCAAAATTAATTACAATCTTCATAAATATATTAGTAATACATTATCATTCTTAGTAACAATCAAAATACATTAGCAAATAAACATTTTTTTTTTTTTTTTTTTTTTAATATATATGAATCATTAAAATTAAAAAGCACAAACAAAAACGAGGCTTAATTAATACGAACTAAAAGCTGGATCATTATTGGCCAAACGCATGAGACGAGTCATTGGGGCGGAATCTAGGAAATGAGAAGGAGTAGGGGGAATGAGAAAGGTAGTATTAGAGCGGGTGGTACGAAGAGGAATTTTAAATTTTAAAAGGCTGAGAAGCTGGTTGGAATCTATTTTGTTGGATAAGAGGTTGTTTAGGAAGGAGAGGTTAGAATTATGTCGTCGATCAGAAAGACTGGAGAGATGTAGGGATAAAAGGACAGGTGAGTAATCATGAGGATTATGGGGAATATTTAGGCGATATGCAATAAGGTTTAAAAATTTTCTTTGAACCCTTTCAATTGAAGCCCTTGCGACAGCTGTTTGGGGATCCCAAAGAACAGAGCCGTATTCAAGGATAGGGCGAATAAGGGAGGTGTAAAGAGTTTTGAGAGAGTTGGATAGTTTAAATTCTTGAGTGATACGGGAGATGAAACCTAGGAGTTTAAGAGCTTTACAAGTAATATGCTGAATATGTTTGTTAGGAGAAAGATTATGTGTGAAAATAAATCCAAGATCACGTATTGACTCAGAGGAACGAATTAAAGGAATGTTATTTACGGAATAAGGAAAAACGATATGAGGACTACGTCGGAAGAATGACATGATAGAACATTTTTTAATATTAAGAGAAAGGCCGAGGGATTCACTCCAGTTTGTAAATCGCAGTAGATCTTTTTGTAGTAGATGGCAGTCGGATATGGATTTGATACGGAGGAAAAGTTTCATGTCGTCAGCAAATATTAGTAATTTTGCATTATGGAGGATTGATGGAGCGGAATTTATGAAAAGGGCAAATAGAAGAGGAGAAAGAATTGCACCTTGGGGTACGCCAGAAGATCTATAGAAGGTATTTGAGGTTGAATTGGAAGTAGAAACATAGTATTGACGATTAGATAAATAAGAATGAAACCAGGCAAGAAGAGGATCTCCAATACCTAGAGTATCTAGAGTGTGTATTAAAATTCTGTGGTCTACTTTATCAAATGCTTTTGAGAAATCCATGTAAATTACGTCAACTTGACTTTGTTGACTGAAGGAATCATATATATAGGATGAGAGTATGAGGTTACAAGTTATTGTGGAGCGTCCAGGCCGAAATCCATGTTGCTCATCACATAAAATATTATTAAGTATAGGACGGATAGCATTTATAACAATAGTTTCAAATAATTTGGATATATGAGAGAGTGTTGTTATTGGACGGTAGTTACTTACTTGAGACGGGTCACCAGATTTAAGGATCGGGGAAATTGAGCCTAGCTTAAGCGAGGAGGGGAAGAGTCCGGATTCAAAAGATTTACGGCATAACAGGAATAGAGGCCAGGCAATAACATCACTTAGGATAGATAGAAAGTGGCCTTGTATTCCATCAGGACCAATAGTTTTGTTATTACGGAGAGAAAATAGGAATTTACTTACATCATTGATAGTGAATTCAATTTTAGAAGGTAAGAAGGAGAATGTGGGAAGAAAATGTGTTGGGAAAGATGAAGATTTTAGAGAAGGGGTTTCTATGGTAGAAAAATAGTCAGAAAAAATATTAGCTATTTCATTAGGCAAAGTGCTAGAAATGTTATTAAATACCACACGCGTAGGTGATGTTTGAGGTGAGTGGGTTCGGCGCACAAAAGACCAAAATGAACGAGGGTTAGTTAAAAGAGATGATTCTGTACGGGAAATGTAGTCACGGTAGCAAAGTTTAGACATAAATTTGTAGCGAGCTCGCAAAAGAGAGAAATTTGTATAATCCGTAAGTGATGAGGTAAGTTTATACTTAGCATGGGCTGATTTTTTCAAGAAAACAAGTTTTCTGAGTTCCGGATTGAACCAGGGAGGAAAGGTGGAGTAATTAACAATTTTTTTGGGAACAAAAGTAAGGATAGAAAAGTGTAAGGCATCTAGGAAAGTGTCCATAGCGTCATTCATATCTAGTGATTGAAACGTGAGTTCCCAATTAAAAGAATTTAGGAACTGGATGACACCAGTAAAATTTGTTTTATTGAAATCAAAGTAAGAAGAAGTAGTAATATTTGTTAGTAATTTTGATGGCAGGTTGAGGGAATAAACCAATGGTGGATGAAAGGTATCTGGAGGGACGGCAGATATAGGAGCAAGGTCGACAGATGCAAATTTAGAGTTAGTGAAAATTAAATCTAGAATATTTCTTTGCGCATTTGGTATATTATTGTTTTGGTAAAAACCGTGAAAAGAAAAAGTTTCAGGCACACATAAGTACTGTGATAAGGAAGTTGAGGAGTAATAGAGTCCATGATTGTCATTAGTCCATGAAATGAATGGGAGATTATAATCACCACAGAAGATTAAGGAGTAGGATGGATATTGTTGTGATATGGATTCAACTGAGTTAAGATGAGTTTTGTATAATTCAATTGGAGATTGAGGAGGGAAATAAACACCGCAGAGTATAAAATTATTTGAGTTAATGTTAAAATGGATGAATAGTTGTTCAATACTATTTTCTGTAATAGAGAGAGGGAAGGAAGGAATGTCTTTGCGTATGGCAATAAGAACACCGCCACCTCTTTCGAAAGAGCTTGTTGTAGGTGATCTATCAAATCTGTAGATATTATAATTAACTAAACCTAATTCAGGGGAGAAAAAATTACTATTAAGCCAAGTTTCTGTGAGTACAATGAATATATAATCAAAACAAGATGTATTACATTTAAAATTTGTGAGTTTGGTACGCAGACCACGGCAGTTTTGATAATATCCGAGAAGGTTAAACGAGTCCCTTTTATCACCTAGCTTCGAGGACGTTGATGTCCTCTGAATATGTTTTTTGAACGAACACTTGGTACGCCATTTGAATAAGATATTGTTAAGTTAGTCTCACCTGCAGCTTGTCGTTGTTCCATCTCAAGATGACATGCACGAAGTAATTGACGCTCCAAGGTAGTTTTGTCACGAACCAAGCTTGTAAGAGGAAGAAGATTTAAGGATTTTGTTTTGGCCTCCCGATAAGCCGTTAGTATTGATGAGGCAGATTCATGCGATTCAAAAATTACTTTAACAGGACGAGGCCCTTTATTGGAAGGTTTACCTAGACGAATTGGTTTGAATTCTTTTGTGTTTTCGAGGGAAAATTTAGCAAAAATATCCGATAATAACATTTTATCATCATTTATTTTATTAGAGAGGTCTGATGAAGTAGACTCAGGTATACCATAAGTAATAATATTATTTTTGCACCGCTCGCGATCATTAAGTTCTTGAATCACTTCGGTAACCGAGGAGAGAGGAGCGGTTTTAGGAGTGTTTGTTTCCAGAGTTAGAACTTTAGATTCCAGAATTTCAACCTTACCACGAAGGTCTCTAATTTCTATAGTGAGAGTGTCAAATCGAGAAGTAAGTGAGCTTAAACCGTCTTTTATTTCTTTACTAAGAGCTTTATGGTTCGCCAATAGTTTATCTTGTGACTGTTGGATCTGGGTTATAGCTTTAAAAAGCTCATCGGTAGATTTAAAGTTTGTTGATGTGATTGAAGACGACGAAGAAGTTGAACGGGTGAGGGGTGGTGAAGTTTTGGCTGAGTTGGTAGGCATTATGGATGAGCGAGAGGTAGTCACCAGGTAATGAGAAATGTGTATATAATGGACTAGCGTTAAAGTCTCCGGAAATAGTGTACTGAAGTTAGTAACAATATGGTAACAAAACCATTAGTGATAAGACTTTGACATATCATATATATATATATATATGATTAATTAGCGAATTTAAGAGTTTTAGCGATATTAACGTTATTCAATATTAATATTTGAAAGTTTTGAAAAATTTAGTTAACAACCATTTTTAAAAACTTGTAACATATTTGTGATATAATATTTACCTAAAATATGGTAAAAACCTAAATATTTTACAAATGCTGTATGTATGTAATGTAGTTTACGGTGCATTTATTTAGTATAATTGAATTTCCTCTAGTAAGAAGAAGAGGGCCATACGAAGTTTCTATTTAATTCAGAATTATTTTACAAAAAAATTAATTATTATTTACTATTGTTTTTATTTTTAGATAATTTTATACAATAATTTAAAATGGAAAACCAAAAAGAAAAACACTACATCATTAACTATCATATCTTGAAGCTTTTCAAAATGTATCAAATGCTAATTCCAATGAAAGAGTCTGGATTGAAAATAGGAAAATACAATTTTAACTATTGCACAACTTATCCAATTTTTATATTCTTGGAATTAAATAAAATGGCTGGTTGCTTCATAGGTTTTTACTTCTATATAAGTGATTTTTACACTTTTGTTCAATTTCTTTTATCAGTACTCAGTAGCATTATCACAATATTCAATGCCTTAAGATTTGCTCAAAAATACAAAGAATTCTGGGAATTATTCGATGTGATGAAAACAAATTTTTTGTCAACATTAACGTTATGGTAAAAATAGAACATGGCTAATCACTGTCCCGCTCTCCACATTTNGTACAAAAATTATAATCAAGAAATAATTCAAAATTGCAAAAAAAAGTGCTTCATAATATGTAATGTATATGCAGTTATTTGGTTCACTTCATTGTTTTTTTGGGTTTCTAGTCCATTTATCATTAAAAAATACTCGATGAGAAATCGTAATGGAAATTGGATAGTCTATCGAAACAATGTAGTCAATATTTTTCTAGTTTACTTTTCTTTCGATAATTATAAGCATTTTTACTGGATAATTTATATCATAGAAACAATTATTGTGACACAAGTAATTTTAGATATTATCATTCGTGACGTCGCTGTGATAGAACTATGTATGATATTAACTAGTCAGCTTGAATCTATTGCATTGGAATTTGAATCCCTTGGTTATCAAATAAAAAACACAGGTAGCGATTATTAAATGACAATGTGATAATTCATGATATCTTTTCAAAATATGTGAAAAAAAATATGGTCTACAAAAAATTTTAAATGTCTATAACTACTATTGTATTATTACTTTTTGAGATTTTATAATTTTTAGTTATAGGGGAGCAGTATGTTCAACATTAACGTTATGGTAAAAATAGAACATGGCTAATCACTGTCCCGCTCTCCACATTTTTTAAATCATCAAATGTTAATATATCAAAAAGTAATAATTCAAAAGGTTATCGAGCAGTCAACATTTTATTTATATGTTACGCTATTTAATGATAAAAAAGTTATAATAGGCAAATTTTACTTTTGATAGTTACACCAACATATTTTTTTCTTACTTTAAATTTGTTATTTATTTATTTTCATTATTTAATGAAAAAATGGGGGAGGTAGGTTATTTAATTAAATATTCATGTAATAAATCGCACTGTGTATATACGAGGTGTGTTCAGAAAATAACGGGAATTTTTAATTATCGCGGGTTTTTGAATGTCCAATTATCAAATTTTTTTTCATAATATTGATACCCATGTCCCAGAAGTATGATCAAATTTTCAGCTGGATTCATTTTTTACTTTGTCAGTGACAGCCGCTAAGGTTAGACGTGTTTTATGAGCTCGGCGATTTTCGTTTGTTAAAAAAATGGATCAAAGGACTTGTATCAAATTTTACCTAAAAAATGAAATGAAGTGTAACAAAGTGTGTGAAATGTTAACAAAGGTCTATGATGAGTCTGCTATGAATAAAACAAAGGTTTACGAGTGGTATAAGTGTATCCAAGATGGCCGTGAAGACGTCAAAGTTGACGAAAGACCCGGTCGTCCCAGAACATTAACAATCGATGAAAACGTTGAAAAAGTGAAAGAAATGGTTATAAAAGATTGCCTAATCACAATCAGAGGAGTCGTTGATGATGTTGAAATATCGATTGGCTCATGCCATAAAATTTTTTCGAATATTTTGGGTATGAAACGCATAATAGCAAAATTGTTGATTTTTGAAAAAATACAGCGGCGAGTGGAAGTCGCTTAGGAGTCACTTAATGAAGTCAACGACGATATAGAATTATTTAAACGTGTTACAACAAATGACGAAAAATGAGTTTATGGATACAACGTCGAAACTAAGCCTCAATCATCTCAGTGGAGGCATTCTGGATCGAAAAAGGCTCGACGAGTGCGATCGAACGTGAAGGTTATGCTCACTGTATTATTCGATTTTAATGCCATAGTCCATCATGAATTCTTGCCACGAGGTCAAACAGTCAATAAGGAGTACTACTTACAAGTTAAACGCCGTTTTTGCATGTAGCAATCCGAAAAAACGACCAGATTTGTGGCAAAACAATTCATGACTTTTGCATCACGATAATGCACCTGATCACACTACATTGCTTGCTCGAGAATTGTTGGCCAAAAACAATACTGAAAAGATGCCTCAGCCTCCATATTCGCCAGACATGTCATCATGTGATTTTTTTTCTATTTCCAAAAATAAAGAGAACCTTAAAGGGCCGTCGTTTTACAAGAATAGATTACATTAAATGCGTATCTCTGAATGAGCTGAAAGTTACCCCAAAGAAGTTTGAGAAGTGATTAGAGGATTGGAATAAATGTTGGCACAAGCGCATAACATCTAATGGGGATTTTTTTGAAGGGGAGAACATTAATGTAGACGAATAAATAAATATTTTTTTTCAAAAAAGTTCCCGTTATTTTCTGAACACACCTTGTATATGTTTCTTAATTTCAATTATACTATTTGTACAATAAGAAGTAAAATAACTATAAAAAGATATTTAATAACAATTTTTTTATTTATTTGGGTGTTAGATGAAAATAATATAAAAAAAAAAAACAGATCATAGTAAAATTAATACCTTCTCAGCTTCGCATGAAGCTAAACAAGTTTTAAATATATATATGTGCGTATTCATTCTGTATAGTCTTTAAATTAATTTTTTCTTTAAGTTAAATATCAATTAGTTTTATCCAACTTTTAATAATAATTGTGTTTTAGTATTGTTGTTGTTAGGAATTAATTTACTACATTAATCAAGTATTTAATGAAAATGAAAATAATTTTTAGAATTAATTAAAAATGAAAGTATTACATTTAATCGACTCAAAATTATAGATTTCAGTAATTTAGTTAAAGTAAAATAAAAACATAACTTATACAATACTTATATTTTCATTTATTCCAGATACAAAGAAAATGATTAAAATGTCAACAATTGACAATTTTAAACATATTATTTTGGATCATAAAAAAGTTAATATGTAAGTTTTAATATTAAATTAACTCATGATTATTATGTCTTAAAATATTATTTGTAATTGGTTTCGCTTGAAAAATAATCATTTTACGGGATCGAATATTTATTTTTATTCTATTAAGTTAGTTCAAAACATTTTTACTCAGAATGATTATACAGTAAAAATTATATTCTAATGATTATTTATTTTCTTTTTTTGTATGTTCTCCATGAAATAAATGTGATATCCAACGAAAGTAGCTAAAATTTATATTAAACTGGCATTTTCCATAAATAATATAATTTAAAATTCGTGTTATGCAAATTTTAACCCATAATATAACTTAGTAGATCATAAGTTATAAGTATTTATTTTTACCATAATATAAAAATTAATTTTAGTTAAAAACTGGAAAATATTGCTATTACTTTAATAATCAATATACAGAGTGGAACAGATCTAACTAACAACTCTTCTAACTTATGATCTATTTTACATTTTTAAAATAGTCTTTTTTTTAAATTTTTGTTAAAGATATAAAGATAACTATTTTATAGAGATGATTTGAAGAAATATTTTGATGCCAAAAACTCTTATATTAATTCAGTTGTTACATACTACAGTATTTTGGAGTTTGATAAATTATGAATTTTACGATTTTTCTATGGTATCAAACGTTAGTCCATGTTATGTAATCGACAGAAGTAATCACTATCTTATAACGTTATATATAGGCGATAGTACGCGATTTATTTTCCATGGAAATTATTAATGTTTGAACGAGCTTTTTATAGATATGAATATCTTAAATCTTATAATATAATATTATTAAAAAATTCAAAATTCAAAATTGAACAAACTTCAATATACTATAGTATGTAACGACTAAATTAATATAAGAGTTAATCATAATACCAAACCTAATAATGTAAACCTGGTGGTGGGATGAGGACGTTCAAAAAATCATAGAAAGTAAGATAAAGCAATTCAAAGTATGACAGAAGAGCAAAAGGAGAGAAGACTGGATGGAATATAAACGCTTGTGCAAAGAAGCCAAGTGTGCAGTAAGTAAGGCAAAATTTAAAAGGTATGATGAGTTGTAATATAGGCTAGGAACAAAGGAAGGCAAGAAAGAAATCTATAGATTTGCAAAGATAAGAGAGAAAAGGTCTAAAGATTATTATTATATAAGGTGTAAAAAATGTTGATAAAAAGGTACTCTCGAGTGATGATGGTGTTAAAAAAAGGTGAAAAGAGTATTTTGAAAAATTATTGAATGAGGAGTACTCAAAAAAGACATTAGAGTATATCTCGTGGAATGAGGAACTGGTAGATTTAATTAGTGAGAAAGAGGTATGGGAGGATATGACATCAATGAAAAAGAATAAAGCAGTAGGACCAGATGAAGTATCAGTAGAAATATGGAAAATATTAGGCGATGTTGGCATAAGGTGGTTGAAGGAACTTTTAAATAAAATCTTATTAGAAGGAAAAATACCAAATGAATGGAGAAATAGTATTATGGTGCCGATATTTTAAGGTAAAGGAGACATACAGGAGTGTGGAAATTATAGAGGCATAAAGCTTATGAGTCATAGTATGAAAATTTGGGAAAAAGTAATAGTTAAGAAAGAGTAAGTAATGAGACATCGGTATCTAAAAACCAGTTTGGATTTATGCCTGGTAAGTCAACAATGGAGCCAGTATTCTGTGTGAGGCAACTAATAGAAAAGTTTAGGGAAAAGAAGAAAAAGTTGTGTATAGTATTTATAGATTTGGAGAAAGCGTATGACAGAGTACCGAGAGAGGTTTTAGAGTGGGTATTAATGAGAAAAGTAGTCCCGAAAAGGTTCATTAATATAATAGAAGATATGTATGATGGCACTTGTACCAGGGTAAAAAGCGTAGGAGAAGTATCAAAAGGTTTTCGGGTAAGAGTAGGAGTGTACCAAGTTTCTGCTTTAAGCCCTTACTTATTCTCTATAGTGATGGATGAAATTACTAGAGAAATACAAGGAGAAGTACCGTGGTGCATGTTGTTTGCTGACGATATAGTGTTAATAGGAGGAAATTAATCAAAGGCTAGAGGTATGCAGATCAACTCTTGAAGAAAAAAGTTTAAGAATAAGTAGAAGTAAAACAGAGTATATAGAGTACGAGTTTGACAAAGGAGAACACGAGGTAGGTGAAATGAGGAGGTCAGTGACAATAGGCGAGAACGTGATTGGAGAGGTGGAGAGTTTTAAATATTTAGGGTTAGTTGTGCAAAAGAGTGGTGGTATTGACGAGGATGTAAGACACAGATTTAAGTGCGAGTGGTTGAAGTGGAGAGAAGTGTCTGGCGTCTTATGCGATAAAAGAATTCCAATGAGGCTGAAAGGTAAATTCTATAAGACTGTAAGAAGGCCAGCTATGATGTATGGTTTAGAGTGTTGGGCGGTTGATAAAAAAGTAGAGCAGATAATGAGTGTAGCACAGATGAGAATACTTAAATGGATAAGTGGAGTAACTAAAAAAGATAGAATAAGGAACGAACATATAAGAGGGAGTATAAGTGTAGCATCAATCGTGGATAAGATGAGAGATAATAGAATTAGATGGTTTGGTCATGTTATGAGGAGAGAAGAATAGGATGCTGTAAGAACATTTATAGAAATGAATGTTGAAGGAATAAGAGGTAGAGGAAGACCAAAAAAGAGATAGAGGGATGTTATTGAATGCGATTTGAGACAGCTGATGTGAGCGTAGATGATGTGGAAGATCGTGTCAAGTTGAAGTTTGGGATAAGGGTGGCCGACCCCAAGTAGTTGTGATTAAGGCAAGGAAGAAGAAGAAGAAAAAAAGTTCTTGGTATCATAATATTTCTTCAAAACGTAAGCTTATCTTTATATCTTCAAAAAACAAATAAATTTTTTGTAATTGCGAACAATAATACAACATATAGTGTAAAATCAATTAAAAATAAAAATTATAAAAAGTTATATAGGTCAAAAGTTATAAGGGTTGTCAATTAGATTTGTTTCATTCTGTATATTAAATTTGTTTATTTCTTAGGGTTATAAAAAATTTCTATGATATATTCAAACCTATTGCAATACTTCAATTAGGAATCACTTATAATTTGATTATTGGCTTGATATTCACGTGTGTCATGGTAAGTTGTGTTCAGATTTATAAAATTTATGAAAATGTTATAATATTTATATTTATATAAATATTAATTTATTAATATTTAAAAAATAAAATTGCAAAATAAATTATTTGTTATATTTTATAACTTAATCCCTGTGGAAGAAGATAAGAATACTTCCACGGTCCCTTTGCTAGTTGTAAGAGACAACTAATGAGGTTGTGTCAGATCGACAACCGGTGTAAAATTTTGTAAAAAAGTATGAGGAATCCTGAACAGAACGTAGACAGATTATCTCACTTTGAATATATACAGGTACAACAAGTGAAAGGAAATAAAGTAGCAAGAGACAGAGTAGATCTAAAAAATAAAGTGTTTGATGCCAGCTGGTCAACTTGAACGGTAGTTCATGTGTTTCTCTCGGGGGTATAGAAATTTTATCCACATCCAGTCTGTCACAGGTCTAAGCACAAGAGGAGTAATTTTAAAATTAATGTCCTGATAGTTTGAACTCTTATTCGTAAAAAAGTACATGCTGATGAATATATCGTAATTAACTGACCAATACGGTATTAGTATCACAATCATATGATAATACCAATTAGCCTGATGTATGCACACTATTTAAGCCATAGACTTTTCTAATATTCTGTAAAATCACTCAACCATTCCGTCAGATTGTGGAAGTAACGGTGTATTTTTTGGGACACATTATAACGGCTGATCTTATCTCTGACCAAAACATTGGCCACTGTCTTAGCTTCCTTATTAGCTTCTTATTGCTTATTGCTATTCTTCTCCCTTATTGCTTCTGGCATTTAATGAAATAATTCATAATTACCATGACGTATAGTAAATAAATAAAATCCAACCTTAATTTCTCGCATCCGTATATAACAACCGTTGGCTTGGTTTAAGATACAACAAAATCGGTGATTGACACAAAATTTAAAAATGATCAAGGATGACAAATTTCTATCTTAAACTCTTCAATTCACTACAAATTAAGTCTAATGACATCTTTTTAATCACAAAAATTAAAGTAATAATTTATTTACTTATTTTTATTATTATTTTTTTTTTTACCAGAATTTTCTGAATAATGATATATTACTATTAGTTGTTCTTTTGAAATTATTTTTTACAACTATTGGAGTTATTATGAACTTATTTGTCTGGTGTTTCTTTTATGGATACCTAGAAAATCAAGTAAAATTTAATTTGTCTTAATTATTTAAACATAATACGTTAAAACATTCTATCACGTTAAATATTTAAAAATATGAAAATTATTTTTTATTTTTCAGAAAAATAAAATGAATTTTTTTATGTACAGTTGCAACTGGACTGAACAAAACTTAGAATTTCAAAAAATATTACTACTAACAATGAAATTAAATAATGCAAATAATTTTACAATGAAAGTAACACCGACCAAGGTTTTTAACTTAGAAATGTTTTCAAGAGTGAGTCTAAGTTCCTTATAATTAGCCTGTTGTTTAAGTTTAAATTTCCAACAATAAATTAATTAATTCTATTAATTTTATTTTAGGTAATGAATACATCATACTCAATAGTTTCAATATTATTAAAAAAAAAGATTCGATAATTTATTTAACAACACATCTTAATGTATTTTATTAGGAATGATAGTTTAATATTTTGTTCTCGTATATGAATATAATACAATAGTAATAAACATAATTTTTTTTTTGCAAACAAAATTGTCTTTCTACAAGTTGTAGCGTTACGCTACGGCTTTATCATTGGTTGACAGTCGCAAGAAAGTCCGCTGGACAGCGCTGTTTGACAACCCTTATTCAAAAAATGTAAATTAAAGTATTTATTTATTATTTTTTTTATTATTTATTATATTTATTGTAATGATTATTTTATATACCAGTCTTAACGAGAACTCGAAAATAGGAAATTAGAATATTCTTTTGTTTTTGGAGGGTTTTTTAAAAATAAATAATATGTGGGCAATTGTGTTCTACACTACTCCGGTGGTGACGGGTAGCATAAAGTACACCGTCACTACTTGTATAATTATTCTCTAAAAATTCTAATAGTTTTTTTTTAAGTTCTTCTTTTATACGCGTCGTTTAACTAGTGATTGCAGTATTCAATGCCAACTAGTCTTCATTTAATAATTCATCATTTCATTTTTCCATCGAGTAAGTTTTCTTTATTTTTCCTTAACTCTTATTACTTATATAATTTTCAACGGTGTTCGTAACTAAGCGTTACCAACCGTGATCAAAGTTATATATTCTTTTTTTTAAAGGCTAGTCATAATCTTCAACGGTGATTATAACCATCGTGTTATCAACCGTGATCAAGATTGCTAGTTTTTCCTAAGTATTCCTCTTTAATCCTTTGCAACGGTGCTCGTAATAAACGTTTTACCAACCGTGATCCAAAGGGTTAGATTCCACCACTTATATAATACAGTTCATCTTCAACGGTGATCATAATCTCCGTGTTATCAACCGTGATCGAGATAACTGTCTTTTTGTAAAAATCCCTTTAACCTTTTTGCAACGGTGTTCGTAACTACTCGTTACCANGCAACGGTGTTCGTAATTACTCGTTACCAACCGTGATCCAGAGGGTTATACTTCTACTTCACCCCAAATTAAATAGTTTCTAAAATAAGACTGATATAGTAGTTAGTTAATTAATATATGTATATATTCATCTTTATATAAAAATAAATCAGAACAAATCGGTTAGTCGAAAAATTTGTGTTGTATTTTTCATATTTAAAGAGAACAAACGTTTCATTGGCGCCCAACGTGTGTTGCTCGACGAGCTGGCACCTATTTTTTACACCTGAGAATAAATTGTACTTAAGAAAAAGTAAAATAACAATATGGCAATTACATTAGAAGCAATAAGAGAAATGTTTAAGGAAGTAATTAGTGATTTGGACAAAAAATATGAAAAAAGAGTTGAAGTTATCGAACAACAGAATATTGAATTAAATGATAAAATAACTGATTGTGAAGAGAGAGTAAGAGAAGAAGTCAATACGTTAGGTAGTCATGTAGTTAGATTAGAACAGGCATATATTGACACTTTAAATAGAATAAATACGGTTTATAATCCAGAAAAAACAAATAGTCTCGTAGAAATTAATTTGCCAAAATTTTTTGGAAATTCTCGTGATACACATCCTTTGGCATATCTCAAACGTTTAGAAAAGTATTTTGAGAGAAAAAATATTAAGCCGGAGGATAAATTACTTTTAGTTGAAGATAGTTTAAAAGGGAACGCTGGTAATTGGTTTTCTATGATTAATTATTTGTGTAATGACTATGACAATTTTAAACAGTTATTTATTGATGAATACTGGTCGCGTGGTATACAGTTAAGTTTATGGAGCCAGTTCTCTAGTAGTGAAAGGGTAAAAAATATACCATCTTATAGAGAGTATTTTGCACAGTGGATGCAAAAAGTTAAATATTTTGATTCACCAAAATTAACAGAGGCAGAAGCAATTGTTATAATAGCGCGTCATTTCCCTGGCTATATACAGGCTATGTTAGTGAGTATGCCGTCAAAAACTTTTCTAGAAGCTACTACGCTGTTAGGTGGGGAGGACGCGAATAGGAAAAGTGTATATCAAGTTAGTCAAAACAGACAAGCGGAGGATCAGGGAAAAGTGGAGGAGGAACGAACGAATGAACGCCGTAATCCCTTTTATCGCAATAATAATATACAAAAAAAAAACAGTAGCACAGTGGGGTCGAGGCACAGTGTGGACGAGGCATAAATGGAACAAGTATAGATGATATCTGACAGTGATTAAAATCACTATCATAAGAAACGCTTCGATGCAAATCTGTAGATAGTGTTTCCTTTAGAGAAATTGGTGAAATATTTTAAAAGCAACATGAACTCTTATTTCTTTAATTATATCCTGATTAGTAGTTCTTTGATTTTAAAATATAATATATGAATAAATACTAATTATAGTTTTTAAATTTAGTATGAAATTGTGAGGCCAGCTATGATGTATGGTTAATAGTGTTGGGCGGTTGATAAGAAAGTAGAGCAGAGAATAAGTGTAGCAGAGATGAGAATGCTTAGTTGGATGAGTGGAGTGACTAGAGAAGATAGGATAAGGAACGAGCATATAAGAGGAAGTATAGGTGTTGCGTCAATCGTGGATAAGATGACAGAAAATAGACTTAGATTGTTTAGTCATGGTATGAGGAAAGAAGAATCGAAAGCTGTAAGAACAGTTATTAAAATGAATGTTGAAGGAAGAAGAGGTAGAGGAAGACCAAAAAAGAGACGGAGGGATGCTATTGAATGCGATTTGAGGACAGCTGATGTGAGCGTAGAAGATGTAGGAGATCGTGTCAAGTGGAAGCTTAGGATAAGGGTGGCCGACCCCAAGTAGTTGGGATTAAGGCAAAGAAAAAGAAAAATATTACCAGAAATTCCGGTGGCAATTGACATAATATGATTGTTGTTTCGGAATGTACAATTTAGCGTTTAGTTGGGTTTAAACAATATAGCGTCCAATCAATTGCCCTGAAGCAATACCTCACGGTAGTTCCAGGGCGGTCCACAACATGCTGGCGGTGTGGAAAAAAAAAAAAGCGTCAAATCAATTACCTACTCTATCGCTTGTATCTCAATATACACTACACTTTAATGATACAATAAATAAATAAACTCACACATACACACATATGCATTTATAACATTGTGTCTAATGTAAGTATAACATGATAAAAAGTAACCGTAAAATGAAAAAAATGGAATATAAATTTTATTACTCATATTAAATGTAATGTAACTCGAAAAATATTTGTTTAAATGAAAAAATATAAGATTATATTTTTATTTATAATTGTCTTTTAAACAACTTTTGTGCGAAACTTTTTTTTGTAAGTTAAATATTTTTTTTTGAGAAAATTAAGAAAGCTCATATTTTTGAACTTTTGCGAGGATTTAAAAAAAAAGCTCAATTCCAATCTTGAGGACTATTAGTATGTCATTATACATATTTTAATTCAACTTTTAAAAAAACAAAATTTTTTCCGCAATTTTTCCTTTGTTGACTGGCCTAGATGTCAATTTTAAACTTGTAATTGAGCTAAAAGTTATGGTAATATATTCAATTTATTTTACTATAAACTTTCATAAATCTTTATCAAAAATTTTTCATCAACTTTAAAGAACCAAAAAAATAGGTTAAAATTGAAAATTTGGACTGATTATTTTTAACATATTAAAAATCAAATCAGTAATAATTTGAAAACAAATTTTTTTTTCTTTTAATTATTATTTTATATATATAATTAGTAATAATATAAAAAATTAGAAGTGATAGAAATAGTCTACTTGCAGATTTGAAAACAACGCGAAAAGTTGATTTAGAAAAGTATATTTTTGCTTCTGATGAAAGTTCCTTGTAGTCCAGTGCATTTTTTTATAGTAACAAACAGTTTTTATTGAAAATTATTGTATCAAGCCCTTTAAATTTTTATACACGTAAAAGTAAAGCAAAATATAACTTCTTTATTATTTTTATAATTTCTCCGTTTAAATTACAATATTAAATATCAATTTCATACTAAATTTAATAATTATAATTAGTATATATTCAAATATTATATTTTAAAATCAAAGAACTACTAATCATGATATAATTAAAGAAATAAGAGTTGATGTTGCTTTTGGAATAATCCACCAATTGCCTAATTAAAACAAAAAAAAAAAAAGTTTGTTGGGAATTTTTTCTGCTATTCTGCAAAATTACTCCTTCGTTGACTAGAATGAATCATTAAATAGAAAATTTTATGAGAATTAAAACAATGTTATTTTTAAGATTAATATGCAGTCAGAAAGTTTTATAATTATTATTTATTGTAAATTTATCAGAAAAACTCATTATTTTTTGCATTTTTATCGTAATAGAACACTTAAATAGAAATCATAGTAATCATTTCTAAGTAATTTTTGATATTTAAAAAGATTCTACTATTGAAATATCCAGAACTGAATTAATTTTAATGATTTACTTTAACTAAAAAAAAAAAAGTTAATATTTTGAATCCCTCTTGTGGGCAGGTAAAGGGTTAGATTTATAAAAAAAACCAAATGATAGATAAAGACATGCATCTAAATAAAAAAAAATATACTGATTTGGTCATTTTTGATAAAGTTATAACAATTAACAAAGTTATAAGTTTTATACACTGGACTACAAGGAACTTCCATCAGAAACAAAAATATACTATTCTAAATCAACTTTTCGCGATGTTTTAAAATGTGCAATTAGACTTTTTCTATAACTTCTAAGTTTTAATATTATTAAAAAATAGTTTTTACATATAAAAAAAAATAATTAAGAACAAAAAAAATTGTTTTAAATTAATACTGATTTGATATAATATTTAATATTAATTTGATTATTAATAAGTTAAAAATAAGGAAAATGACATATTTAACCAATTTTGTTAATCGTTTAAAGTTGATTGTTGTAAATGTTTATAAAAAAAAAAAAAAATTTATTTTACCATAACTTTTAGCTCAATTGGTAAGTTTGACATTGACATAATTAAATAGAAAATTTTATGACAATTAAAAAAATTGTATCGTTAAGATCAATATGCAGTCAGAAAGTTTTATAATTACTATTTATTGTAAATTTATCAGAAAAGCTCAATATTTTTTTGCATTTTTATGGTAATAGATAACTTAAATAGAAGTAATAGTAATAATTTCCTAGGAACTTTTGTTGTTTGTTTAAAAGATTCTATAATTGAAATATTGAGAACTTAATTAATTTTAATGATTTACTTTAACTAAAATAACATCGAAGTCTCCGCTTCGCATCAAAGCTAAAAAAGTGGTTAAAAAGATCTACTCAATTTTATAATACGCTCAGTATTATAAAATTTGATTATAAAAATTCATTGTTAATTAAAAAAAAACTAACAATCATTTTTAGCTTCGATGCGAAGCTGAGAAGGTATTAATTTTACCATGATGTGTTTATTTTTTTTTTTATTTATTTTTTTTTTTTGTGTCTGTCACTACTTTTTCTCAGCTCTCACTGGACCGATTTCTTTTAACAATACGTCAAAAGATCACAAATTGTATCTAGTTGAAGACATTACCCTTAAAAATTTAAAAATTTTCCCTCGTTCCCCGCAAATGGGGGAAATATC